AAGTTTCATAAGATGGTTCGTCAAAATGACCAAAAGGTTCGGGAATTCATCCTTGAATTACAGAAACAAGCTGCCAAGTGTAATTTCGGTGATCAACTTCATGTGCAATTGAGAGATCGATTAATTGCAGGAATTAACATACCGAGTTTGGAAAGAGAGCTGTTAAGAATGCCAAACTGTTCCTTTCAAGATGCTAGAACTGCATGTATTAACTACGAAGCAGTCAATGAACTTGATATCCAGTCGATGAACATTTCTAATACTTTGCTTAGTCGTCGTGATGAACTACAATCTCAGGGTCAATCAAACTTGCGTTCATTTAACAGTGATTCCTATTCTCGTGTAAATATGAAAGGTGTTTCAACGAGGAATTACAAAGCAAATCACAAAGGTGAGATGAAGTTTGGTAAATGTTTATCATGTGGAAAGTTTCATGCTCGCAATTCATGTGTATTTCGTAATGCTAAATGTTTTAAATGTGGTAAGGTAGGACACATTCAGTCAGTATGCAAAGCTACTGTCCATTTTGCTTCGAGCTGTACTAAATCTTGTAATTTAAATTTCAATAATTCGGATGTTTCTAGTGATCATTTGTCTTTGTCCACTATTTCAAAAGGTAATGCTCATATTCAGAAGCGATTATATACATCGCTTGGTTCATTTCATGACTTTATTGTGGACACAGGCAGTATAGAGTCCATTATTTCATTCAAGAACTTGAAAGCTTTAGATCCTAACGTTGTTGTACGACCCACTGAAGTATCAATATTGGGGATTACTGGACACAGACTGCCCATACGAGGATGTTGTGAATTGCTAATCAGAGATGATAATTCTTCATACATACCTTGTGAATTTTTAGTTAGCGAAACAGGACTGTCAATATTGGGTTTAAGGAATTTGAAAAGGCTTAAGGTGGAGTTGTCCTTCTTAGTTTCTAAAGAAAATTCTGATACTTTACTTAAAGATTTGATAGCTATGTGTGCTAAATGCAGTGGAGGTATGAAAATTAAGCCTATAAAACTTCAAGTACAGGGTGATCCCGTCTTTCTTAAAAGACGAATAATTCCTTATGGTCTTCGAGAAGCAGTACATAAGACATTAAACGATTTGTGTGTGAAAGGCATAATTGAACCAATCCAGTCTTCAGCATGGGGTACTCCTATCGTTACGCCACTGAAGTCGGACGGCAAGACCCCTAGAATTTGCGGTGACTATAGATTAACTCTGAACTCCCGTTTGTTGAAGCAAACGTGCACGACGGTAGAAGCTGAGGATATTCTAAATCGACTTCATGGTTCTAAAGTGTTCTCGAAAGTTGACCTAAAAGATGCTTATCTTCAAATTCCTTTAGATGAATCTTCATCTATTTTGACGACAATTAACACTCCTTTTGGTCTGTTCAAATACAATTTCCTTCCATTTGGTCTAAGTTGTTCTCCAGCCATATTTCAGGAAGTTATGAATAAAGTAGTTAGTGATCTTGAAGGTGTTGAAGTTTATCAAGATGATCTCATTGTTCATGGCTCTAATAAGGTGGTTCATGACCAGAGACTTATTGCTTTATTGCGACGTTTATTTGAGAAGAATATAACAGTGAATCCAAATAAGTGTTCATTTTGTGTATCTAGTTTTGAATGCCTTGGATACCTAGTTGATGGTAATGGTTTTAGACCAGATATGAAACGACTAGCTCCACTGACTAATGCACCGTCTCCGAAAAATCTTACAGAATTACGTTCACTAGTGGGTGCTCTTCAATACTATTCCCGTTTTATTCCTAATTTTTCTTGTCGTGCAAATTGTTTATTTAATATTTTAACATCAAATTCATTCAAATGGAGTGAGGAACAAGAGTCATGCTTACGAAGTCTGCTGAAGTTTCTTCAAAGTGATGCTGTTCTTCGAACGTACTCCCCTAATGTACATTCTGTGCTTATTACTGATGCATCACCTGTGGGAATTGGTGCAGTTTTGGAACAGGAAGGTAGACCAGTTATTTGTGTTTCACGCAAACTCACTGTTACTGAACAAGGTTATTCACAGACTCAGCGAGAAGCATTAGCTGTGTTTTGGGCTGTTAAAAGACTTCATAAATATTTGTTCGGAAAGAAATTCACTATTGTTACTGATCATGAAGCTTTAAAGTTTATTTATCATCCCGAAAAATCCTTAGCACGTTCCTCAGCAGCTATGGTTCAGCGATGGAGTATTGCTTTGAGTGCATATGACTATACGGTTCAGCACAGAAGTGCCAAACAGATTCAACATGTTGATTACATTTCTCGACAGTCATTACAAGATAAACCTAATAATACTTCGGATTGTTTGTTAGTGCAACCTTTACCAGTGAGACGTTCAGATCTCATTAGAGAAACTCGTAGATATTTTGGATGTATACTCAGTGCTATAAGGAAAGGTTGGAATGCTAATTTGAAACGGAGATTTCCTATCTATTTTTCAAAGCGGGATGAGTTATCTACTACTCCTGATGGTATTCTGTGTTTAAACGATCGTGTTGTCATTCCTCCTTCATTGCGTAAATCTGTTCTTGAAGATCTTCATAGTGGTCATTTAGGTGTTGAGAAAATGAAGTCCTTGGCAAGGCTCACATGCTGGTGGCCAGAGATAAATGCAGATATATGTCGTACGGCAAACAATTGTGAGAAATGTCATCAGTTGAAAAATCATCCTTCGAAGTGGGTGCCATGGCCAGTATCGTCTGAGGCCTGGCAGAGGATTCATGCTGACTATTGTGGACCATTTCTTGGTAAATACTACGCACTAGTAGTCATTGATTCTTTTTCAAAGTGGCCTGAAGTTTTTTTCACAACTTCACCAAATTCTGATTTCACAATACAAGCATTAAGAAAGGTGTTTAGTCGAGAAGGTGTTCCCTTGGTGTTGGTGACTGATAATGGCTCACATTTTGCTGCAGATGCAGTCACTACCTGGTTGAACGGTATAGGGTGCAAACATCTATTTACTGCTCCCAGACATCCGTGTTCTAATGGTCAGGCAGAGAATTTTGTTAGGACATTAAAGACTGCTATTGATTCTATAGCCCCCTCAACATTTAATGAGCTGGAGAGGGGAGTAGATACCTTTCTATTGCAATATAGAAATGCCAAACATTCGGTGACGAAGGAGACTCCAGCGAAGCTATTGAAAGGAAGAATTCTTCGGTCGAATATGAGATGTCTGGAGTCTGCAGAGGTTACATACTATCGAGGAAATGATCTTCGACCATCTACGGGTATTGTTCTGAAGAATGTCGGAAAATCGATGGTGCGAATTCTAGACATCGATGACTTAAGTACACACAGTCGACATGTAGATCAAATACAATTTCAGGAACCAGATAATACAGAATCCTTATCCAATACAATGTCAGACAGACTCAGGATGAATTTGAGAAGAAGACGTACGATTGATTACAAACACCTAGACTCCAATTTAAGCTGTGGCGGATGTGGTGTTTGAATGAACCAATGATACCTTTGTACTGGTTGAATGTTTGATTTCGAATTCTAAATACAGTACATTCGTTGTGCCTGTGTCTTCTTAATTCAATTGCGTTAATCCTGGAATTCCTAATTCATACGATAATTCGAATACTATATACACTTCCTCCGAAAATAGACCTCACTATCTTAAACCATGATTAGATTTTATAACGTCATATTTCTTCATCCGACTAAACAAAACTAACATACCTCATGTACTTATTCAGTGCATTGGTTCTATTCATCTGATGTTAGTCAGACTTATTATATCTTATCTTATGCCTGTGTGTTTCCTGAAGTTTTGGATGTGATCAAAGTAAGTTAACTAAATGATTTGAAATAAAATACTAGCAACTTTGGTCTAAGTAATAAACCCCACACGTATCTATTGAAATAAAGCCGTTAATTTACGCATTTGCTTTGTTTGAAGGAAAGCAACTTCTGTCAACTGAGACTGTACCACCACAATAGTGTACAAGTTACAAAAACATGACCGCCATAGGGATATATGTCTGCTTTCTATGAAATTCTTCATAAAATTAATCTAGGCATTTTGGTCGTTCCTTAGAGAGAACGGAAATCGGTATGATGTACTAATTAGTCTCGATTGTAGATGAATATGAGGATTACTTGTAGTTTAGTAAACGGTCCTGAAGTAGCTCATCTGCAAAATGTTTGCACTAGACTTAATAAGCTGACATTATTTGTTTTATTTATATCTCTTGTTATAGAGCCAAAATCAAGAGACATTTGCAGCAAAGAATTCTTTGTCATTTTTACGCAAAATATTTTATTGTACGGTCAAATATCGTATAAATTTAATTGCGGTCGCAGCCTGAACAGATTCTACGGTATTTGCACGAAATGAGAATTGCTTGTACTCAATGGTACGCACTGTCTTGACAAGGATCCATCACCATCATGTGAAGTTTTGAACAGCTCCCGGTATTTCTGTATCATACACCTAACCAGATACTATTATTTATTCTAGTTCACACGTTTATACTATCTTGTTGCTTTATTATCATTGTATCGTTAACCTAATGCACTTCGCTAATTTATAAATAAAATGCCCTTTAAATCATTTCCTTACAGTAGCTATATATATAACAAGTATTACTATATCTCAGACAAAGTTAAAGGATTCTGTTAATGGTAACTTCCAGACAAGACAGTTCAAAGATAATCAAGAAAACAAAAACATTTGAGAGATAAGATTTACTTTAACGGATTCAGAAATAAGTGGGTATGTCTATTAGGATAACTTTCTGGATCAAGGAAAGCATCTAAAGTAGGCTGTGCAGGAACATTGTCATGATGTTGAACTGATCAGCTTCAACAAGCAATGTAAGCTGAAAATAACATGGTCAACATCAATGGCAAGTATTTACAGGCTACATATTTCCGGAAGTCGTTTCTCGGTAAATATGTCTTACGTTATTGGTATATATTTTAACATTTATAGTGACTGTAGTAAAAAACTGAGGTTCAGTATGAAGTAATACATTTATAATAATATCTATGATGTGAAACATTTTCTTATTTTATTTTATTTAAACCTTCATTCGAAATAATGACAAACGTTCTTTTTTTTATCAAATTGAATATCACAACAAAAAAACAAATTAAAGTTGTATCAAAGAAAAACAAAGACTATTATTATTAAAGTGGCTTTTATACGAGTAGACGTAATTGATATTGGTTACAAGGCGTATTCTCAAATGAAGCGAGAGATCACTGACAATTGTAACAGCAGTAATATAGTAATAATAATAATAATGGTAATAATAATAATAAAAGCATTGCTATTGTGCACTAATTTCTCTATGATGCACGAAGTTATGGTTTATGGAACTTTAAAAGATTATATATATATATATATATATATATATTCGAGCTGCAGATATTAAATATCATAAAACCGACCATTCATATTATGATCTAAGCGCTTGTAGTTCATGTGGACTACTTAGCGGTTGTTTTACTCGTAATTTTAGACAACGTCGAACGAAACATCCACATAGTTGACATTTCTCTGGTATTTTTCTATCCTCGATCCACAATGTGATAAACAGCGCTAAACGTAAAAAACAAAATATTACTGTATCTAAATTGAAAATATTTAATGTACATAAACGTTATATTGTTTGATTTTGACATAAATTCTTCAGTCTATAATTTCAAACACATTCAACAATTTATCCAAAAGTAATTGAAAATTGTTTAGAATTCGTTCTGATAAGTTTTGTTCATTTTTGTTCGATTATACTAACTGACGGAATAAGCTTCTTTAGAAGTTGATCATTTGGATTTATATTTAGGCATATATGGCAGAAATAGGGACATTCGAAATTGAAATCCTTTAGACTACGTAACGATATGTCATGAATAAAAAATACTTTGATGAAATGTCATAAATATCATAAAGCCTAATTTATTGTGTAACAATACTACTCAGTTAAGATTAATTTACTACTGTAAATCTCATATATTAGTGTAAAGACAAGACTAAAATCTAACTGAAAATAAATCATGTGCTCTATTCGTCTTTTTATCCATCAATGATGGTTCGTACAGATGTTAAAATGAGAAAAAGTATGCAAAATACTTTCAGTAAGGTACAAAAGACTTTGATATTGAAAACGTGTTGCCAAATAAGCTTTAGGACTAGCGAGAATCACGATTGTTAGCTTTTCATGAAAATTTATTTATTTTGTAATTCCCATTGCAAAACATAATTATTCTGTTCCCGTATTACTGAAAAATTGTATTCAGTTATGAATACCGTATGGATAAAAAAACTGGTGATTAATTTTCTTTTATCAAAATGGTCCTGAAGATTACGACGACATTTATTATTTATATAATTAAATATATTCCGTAAGGTAAATATACGAAAACGTGTAATTTCTAAAATTTTATTACCAATTAACTCTTCTTCGTAAGGATTTTCAAACGTAACATGTAAAGTTTCAGAATATAAGCGTTTATGATTCAACTATTCTACAAGTTAGCTAAACACTCTATACATTGTTGTCTTCCATTCAAACCATAAAATTCATATTCACTCGTTTGTAAATAAAAAGCACTTGTACATGTTGTCAAAACTGAAAGTTTAGTGCGATTATCAGTGTTCAAAAAGATAACTGTTATGGATGCAGAATAATGTGCCAATCATTATCATGTTAAGTTTAATGATGTCCTTGGACGTTAAATGGACATTTCCTATTGACCATTATTTATTTCATTCGTTAAATATTGTAGAAATGTTGTTTTCTATTTTTATGTTACGATGTGGTCTGTTTAGTTAGTATATAAATAGAGTATGTCTGAAATACAATGATTCATATCTCAGAGGCTGTGACTTGTGTTCTGGACTCAACTGGCTGGGTTAGACAGGGAAGCGGGACCAATCAGAACACTAGGTCGTTCGTAAGTGTTTTACGTGTCACCGAATCGATCGATAAATACGCTGCGCATCTAATCTGCAAACAACTTCAAGTCACAACAATAACATAAAAATCGGCTGGTGTTTCAACCGTATAATCTACACTTAAATCAACTTTTATACATCTTACTTGGATCAAAAGGTTTTAATACTGAGCAGTTTTAATGTATTTATAAAAATATTCGGTTGTTAAACTAAGAATGACTGAGAAGTTGGTTGCATTATGTCTACTCAATAAATAAATTTGCATTTTGCAAACTTGAAAGTGACCGTCGGAACATAAATCAATAAAACATAATCCTTAAGTCTGAATCTTATGCAAATTGTCGTATTGGCTTAGCGTCTCATCGTGAAGCTCTTTCATTGGTTTCTGTAATAAGTTTCATCCGAAAGATTGGTCATCCTAAAATCCGCGTTGAACAGTACTAGGTACAAGCTATAGAAATATTTCGTACATACATATAAAATACCTTCTTACCCACTAGACAAACGGCTCCACAGGAAGTGTATTGGAATACATAAGCACCATCTGGGGTTAAGAATGTTGTGAAAATTGCGCATGCAAAACTTCCAAACGACTAGAACCGAGAAAAGGAAAGATGTAATTAATCCATATGTACTTGAACGGTTTCAATTCTTTCATGAACACAACCTTCTATTTTGTTAGATATGTTAAACGTTTTTCCTTAACTTTGATTGCCAAATTCGATTTTCACTCAATTTAAAGTTTGTTTCTTAGCCTCTCTATACTTACTGCTTTGACATTTGCCAACTTCGTATGCGCTTGATCATACTTCAGTTTGTTTTTTTGTTACTTTATTTGAGAGATTGAAGAAATATAAGTATGTACATTATGTGCGCCTTTCAGTGGGTTTCCTAGAGGCAATCAAAAATCTCTCATCAAGGATTTAACGTATGACTCTTAAGTAAACTAAGTACAAGAATAGGAAAGCAATTTATCAAGCATTTTTGTTGAGACAGTCGGTGTTTTCCAAAGTATTGAAAGTTAAATATGGGGTCAAACCTTGTCTTTCAACCAAACTATGGACAAATATGGAAGAAGAAATGTTTATGAAGACCTGAAGTAAACTAACTGATGGTTCACATAATGTTAAAATTACTAACTAAGCATTCCAATTACTGTTGTTGCTCAACATTTATTTTATGTACTAATTATTTAACTTCATCTTGATATCAATCCAAAGTTAATGGAAATCAACGATGAAACAAAAAGCAATATAAAAAGTGAAGAATGCAAACAGAGTGATCATGAAAGTGACTAGTAAAGTTTACTATTTTATAGAAGTAATTGATGTATAAAGATGGAAGGATATATTGTAGCCGTTTAGTTAGATGTGATAATATTATGGTGTTCCGATTTTATTGTCTGGTATTCGTATTTATATATAGGACTTACAGGTAAGTGAATGCTTACTAGCGAAATGAGGAAATCAGTGAATTAATCTGAAGTATATATTGAAGGCAATAAATTAAAAATGAAGGTTAATTATCGTCATATATCGTTGTGGTTCATAATATAACAAATAAAGTTTACTAAAAACTCACAAATGCTAGAAATACTAAACCATAATTCACAGCTAAATTGACTGGCCCAAAAACCGTGCCAGTTGCATTTGGAATAAGGACGAATGTTCCGCAGAATAATGTAAATAAGACGAATACCCAAATAGGAAATAATATTTTGATTACTATTTCCGAAAATAATGACAAATGTGGAAATGTTATTAGAACGACTGACCAAATAGTAAGTTTTACACATAATGGCACCTATAAGAGAGAAAACAAACGGGTGAACACTTTTCTCATCTGGACCATTTTGCTAAAACCCAGACAGGATTTAGATCATTAAATACGAAGTAACCTTAAAATGCGTGAACAAAGACAGAAGAGAGTCATAAATTACGATAAACTACAACTGGTAGTATCGAGAAAATCGTCACCCAGGTTAACATTAAACCTTCATCATGCAACTCTCTAAGTTTTTTTAAAATACGAAACCAGATCTAAAAAGAGTTTCAAGATAACATAGAGCACAAATCATTTGAAATTTACTTTAGAATTTAGTCTGTCGGTGAGGCTTTATTAAACATGGACCTCTTGTGTAAAGATAAAATGTTAATTTATTTCTAAATCGGAAATCAAACAACTCAAAGTTTTAACTAGATGATCATTTTGAGAAGATTCAACAACTTTAATAGTTGATAAAACTATGAGATGGACCTGAATAGATATGCTTCAGCTTTTGTCTAATGACCTTGTATGAGAGACACAAAAAACCTTAATGGTCTTTGAGGACTAAACACATTGTGCTGCTAAAAGTGCTCTTACAGCAAGTTAAGGGTATAATTACGCCATCTTTCAAGAAACTTTACGTTTGTGCTCAAAGTTAATCATGATGAAAAGGAAAAATGGCTACTAAACCTGTAACTGCCTGGACGGTGAGCGGTCAGAAGAAATCTTCGCTGGTAAACATATATTCAAAAGGAATATTATTGTAATTATCGTCCCATAAGATTGATTTATCACGCTTGAAAACTCATTGAAAGAATGGGCAGAAAATTTATTTTATATAATCATCTATCTTGTCAATTTCTTTTATTAGTTCAGTTCAGTTCAATAAGCTTCATTCTGTTATGTTTATTTTGCTCAGCTACAATTACATATTCTAATCTACTTTCTGTACAAAGTAAACTTAGAAAGGGAAAGTTTTGTATAAGTTCCGTAAGTTTAGTAATTGAAAGCATAAAGCGCTCGTTATCATATTTTAATTATTGATGTACAATTGAGTACCCTACTGGTCATAATAATTTGAAACATAACATGTCAACAAACAAAGTAATATCTCAAAACTTCTAGCCATCATAAAAACTTCTAGCATCATAAGAAAATAACTTTATACTTTGAAACGACACTTATTCACGATTTCGGGATACGTTAAAATAGGAATATCAACTAAAAATCAAAGTATGTTGCGTACTTTAAACGAAAATCGGTCAGCAATCGAACCCCACATCACACGACCAGCGCAATTGAATAAAGATGAAATAGTAACTATAGCTGACAAAAATCTGTCGTCTGAAATGTACTTTTGACCGAATTGCTTCAACAAAAAAAGAGAAAGAACAGGAATCAAGTTGAAAACTGTGTAAAGATCAGACTTGTAAAAATAAACATTCAAATAAATATTCACAAACGATATTTGGTTGACTGCTCACGTGTTTCAAAACGGAATATTACAGGGTAAATTTAAACAGGTAATCCAGTTGATAACAATCAATTTTACAAACTGATAAATTAGTGATCTAACAGTTTTGTAATAGCAGCACCAAAAGATAGTTGTTTTGATGTGTCATTTTTAAAAATCTCAGATATTCGTTTTATGAGATTTGACAAAATTTACCATTCAATAGACTAAACTTGTTATTCGTTCAGAGTCGCAGTGTAAGAATACTTACAGTATACTACTTCAGTAGACCCCACATTAGTTTCTAATGTGATTTATATAATGCTTAAACCGTATAGAACACTTGCCACCTGGTACATAAGAAAAATGAATACATTCAACTCAGGCGAAAATTGTCAACCTGATAACCAGGTAAAACATTAACCAAAAGTTGTCTCGTTACTGCATATAAATTACACTGAACATACTGACTAGATCCTTCTGACGAATAAGTTAAAAGTAAATGAGTAAAGTGTAAAGAACAAAAATAGCTACCTTATAAGTTGACGTGATTGTTGTAATAGGAATAATGTTGCAGAACATTACGAGCCACAATAAATAAAAATCAATACAGCGGAACATTTGTTTTGGTGATAGATTCACGTCACTATTTTTAAAAATGATAGAAAATAGACTGATAACTAAGACTATAATTTTAATGACAACAACTGAAACTCATTAACAAATAATTACATCAAAACAAAGAGACAAATTCAGTAATAAACCTATCAAGATTTCCACACGTTTATTCTGATTTGTAGTTCTTATTTTAGTCTACTTGACGGAACAAATAGTCTAACCGTACGCAGTATCTAGTGAGAAAAAGCTTATTAAAATTAATAATTAGCAGACATTTGTGAGTGAGTTTTGTGGACTTTTATATGCTAAAATTAAGCCTCCAACCAGAAATCGAATCAAGTTATAGGACCTCATGACATTCAGGAAATAAAGTTATGTTTAGTTGTCAGAAATGTTTCACATATTTGCTTGGTTTGGTCTAAATACTTCATTGATGACGTGATGTGTATATGGCTCATTATGTGATGAAATTGTAAAGTGAAAATAAATATTTTGTAAATGATGTAATGCTTCAATTTTGATAACATATAAAGTAAACATTGAAGTTGTTACATCACTTATTAGGAACTATTATATTAGTCTAAACAAGTACATTTCAGTGATGAAAATAACAGACAGTCGCTACCTTAATATTGAGATGAAAGGCAATTGTGTGGATATTCACCAAGTCTTTTAATTTACTTATGTACATGGACATTGTAAAACTGTCTTCATAAAATAAATTAGAGTAAAGCGTTATTGTAGGTGTTCTGTTTATGTAGAAAATGTGTTAGAAGCTTCTTTTCTTTCTCTTATATAATAAGAAAATATTGAGTTCAAATTTAGTTCTTATAGGATAGTCATTAAACAATTGACAAAATATCAACAACGCGTATGATTCGCTTGTTAAGATTATTTCATCCTCTTGATACTGATTACTTCTTGTCATATATGTCTACTCATTTCAGTTATAAAACGGGATCCAATGACGGAGAGAACTACTTTCTAGCTGCCTATATTAGTTACAATTTTTTAGGTAATGATAATAGTTAGAACAGATGCTGTATGAATTTGGTTCTTTCTGGCTTCCTGTGGTGTTTGAATGAACTAATGATTCCTTTGTATTTATTGAATGCTTGATTTCGAATTCCAAATACAGTACATTTGTTTGTGCTTATCTAGTACTTCTTGATCCAATTGCGTTATTTCTGGGATTCTTAATTAGTACTATAATTCAAATACTCCTAATTATCACATTGGCATCGCGATGGGGTCTGTGATGAAACGGTTGGACATACATTCAGTTTTGATGCTTTCGAGGATTACTTTGAAAGGTTCGAAATTTGGGCTATGACCAAGGAAGATGATGAGGATGTCAATAATGTAGATTTCTTCACATTCATCGGAAAAGAAGCATATAACATATTAAAAACTGTGGCTTTACCGGAAAATTCCATTTTGCTTCCTTATACAGCTCTCGAGGAACTAATGCTAGACTATGTTAAGTAAACAAATTTCGAATGTGGTAAAGGAAGATTTCGTAAAATGATTCATGAGGATATAAAAACTCCAGTGCATACTCAAAGTTACTCAGATAATTCACTGAGGAGTTGCGATGCAGTTCACGAAAATGGGCACATGTTTGACCAATGTTTGTCCAGTGGCAGGTTCCACTCTTTTAATTCATGTAAGTTTCGTAATTATAAATGCTTTAAATGTGGTGATATTGGACATATTCAGTCACTTTGTAATGCTACTGTTCATCTTGCTGCAACTAATATTAAGTCCTGTAATTCTGATTCTATTAAGTTGAGTATTTATAATGATCATTTATCTTTATCAACGATTTCAAAAGACAGTGCAAAGTCATGTTGCAGTCCAGAGCTAAATGAAACTCAGAATTCTTGCGAGACAGTTTCTAATCAATCAAATTATCAGATTTCTGATGTCATTGTACCAAATATGGTTTTTCTCAATGATTCACTTATTTCTGAAGAAATTCCTTGCAAGTCTGAGAAAAATATATTGAATGAACCTAGTCATGATCAGAAACCTGATGTAGTTTTGATAGATGCTGATTTTCTAATGATCCTATACTCTACAATAACATTCTTAATAAATTCGAGGACTATTTCAGAAGAATCCAATATTATTTGTACTCGTAATGCATTTGTTGCTTGTGGGAAACTTGTTCATGCACGAGTACTAAATTACCTCGATTTTGATTACAATTCGGATGATTTCATATCAACTGCTGTTTATCCTTATCACGAAGTCACTTCTGATGTTTACTCTAACCAATGTGAGAAATATATGTTAAATGAAGCTACATCATTCATAGCTTCGGGATATGAAGATTCAACATTATTTCGCGGGGAAGTATAGTCTAAAAGCCTATGGTTCTAATTCTAGGTAGCAGCGGTTTCAGTACACAACCAATATGCTGACTACACAATCCCAGAAAGCACGTGAGTCTGTTCCGATTTCAGTTGTTAACTCTAATATTAGTGAGTGAATTCTAGATAATACAGAGTCTTTATCCAATACACTGTCGGACAGACACAGGATGAACTTAAGAAGAAGGCGTACAATCAATCACAAACATTTAGAACTCAATTTAAACTGTGGCGGATGTGGTGTTTGAATGAACTAATGATTCCTTTGCACTTGTTGAATGCTTGATTTCAAATTCCAAATACAGTACATTTGTTTGTGCTTATCTAGAACTTCTTGATCCAATTGCGTTATTTCTGGGATTCTTAATTAGTACTATAATCCAAATACTAATAATTATCATACTTCGTTTATAGACAAACTGGTTAGTGAAGCTAACTGTTTTTCCTGTAAACCCGGCACAACCACAGGGAAGCAATAACAGTTTTTATTCGTGATCTTATTTCCTGTCCGGTAACTGCTGACCACCTATGTACCACATACCAGTGATTAGTTATAATTGATCTTACAGCATTTCACTATACCCTTTGAAGGTGCATCTATGTTTGTTTACTTGATTCTGCTGTTTTTGTTGTTGTCGTCCATGTAGTAAATTTTGGTCAGTTTAGATTGTGTTGGGGGTGCCATGAATATATGTGTTTTCATCACTCCTATTGTTTTCTTGCGCAATCCCTAAGTTAGCAGCAGTATCCCTCTGGGTTTCTGCGATACTGATTCATTTCGTTATTGGGATCAAAAATCCTGCTGCGATTTCCACTGAAGAATATAAACGTTAGATCTCGCTTTACAATAATTTTGAGTTAATAACTGCTTGGTTTGTCAAATTAAACTTGATTGGATTGTCCACTTAATTTTGCGGTAGTCCTTCTTCAAACAAATTGATATCACGTTTTGCTAGTCTTAGCCAGTTTTTGATATGTTTGACCTCGGCTATGCTACTCTCATAGCCCTGCAATTGTAGGATTTGTTGTGATGCACCAAATATAAGATTTTTATAGGTTCTATTGGCTATGTTAATTAAACGGGTTTTCTTTTGTAGCATTATTATTGAGGTATGCTTTCGACACCAAGTATTATTGATCGAATGGTGTGTAAGACGGTTGTTGATCTCATTCAGTCCTTTTTTATTAGGTTAATTGTCTTTAGTCTATACCTTAATAATAGTATTATGGTGAACCACATCAATCTTATTTTGGTAATCAAACTTATGCTGTTATCTCGCAGTACTGACCGTATTTTTTATTGTAGCATGTTTAACTTTTATTATATTGGAAATGATCGCATCGTCTGAACGAAAGTTGTTTCGAATTGTCGATCTCAGATGTTCTAAAGAGTTTACTTCCTATATTTTATTATTACTTATGATAACTAGTGGATTAATGTTTTGCTTTTTATATATATAGTCTTTGTCTTTTTATGGGAAACTTTCGTACTAAGTTGACTAAGAACGTTTTGTGAGTTCTGAGTGTTACTTGAGTCGTTAGTTGAGGTCGAGATTTGATCATCTGAATATGTAACATGCAATATGTCACAGCTCGAATTAAGATTATCAATCATCTTTAGACCTTTGATGTTTTCTTCTATGGAGGAGCTTAAGATTTCTTGAAAGACAAGATTAATGAGTGATGGACCTTCTTAACAAGCAAATCCAACTGGAAGTAAAATCTCTTGTGAAACTGGGTCAGAGTCCACAAGCACCAGTGAAAAACTATAACAAAACATAAAGAAACTGGAAAACAGTAACGCTCCGGGTGACAACGTATGAACAGTAGAAAAGACTAGACATGATGAAGGCAAGTCAAAGTGTATGCCGCTAAAGAAATTGAACCCAGATAAAATGCCAACGCATTAGATAGATTTCGATGTAACCAGCATCTAAAAGAACAAAAGGGCAAAGGTGTTGTGAAAAATCGTCACTAGAAAAATGTTGGATAAAAAAGTAAAAAAATAATCGTTAATGATCTAAGCACTTTTTGTAAAGGATGCAACAACTTTAAAGCCACAGTATTTGTAATTAAATACTATCCAATTGTTGCTTGGCTTGATTCTATTTCCAAAACGATAATGTTATGCTGAATTATTTATTTCGAGAAACAAACAATTAATGTTCTGTTGAATTCATCAATAAATAAATATAAATGATAGTAATTAAATCATTATATATACATGTACATTAATGACGATAATGAAGTTTTACAATCATATGATATTTATTTGCTCATTAAATCTTATTGTATTTGCTGTTGTGAATATCGTTTTAGCTTACCGTGCAAGTCATCGGTTTTGAAGAATGAGTTGTGAAAATAATTAATTGAAATTCTTATAACAAACTAATTTAGCATGACGTATGATCTATGAGATTCATTTTTATTAAAAATATATGACATTTTTATTTAAAAATCGTTTTAAACAAACTTATCTGTCCAGTAATTAGATGAAGGGGGTACCAGGCTTAAGTAAGTCAGTAAATAATCAGACCCACTCATCAGATTTATTTTCTCATGATTTATAAATTTAGGGTCATAAAAAATAACCACATTTAATGTAATCATAATTATTACATCAACATAAGCATTCATTATTCACGAGACTCACAAAATGAATTTGCTCGCTTAAATATTATTTTCATTCAGTAAAGAGAAATTACTTAAACTAGTTAGTTACTAATTAGTATTTAAATGAATGCCAATACCTATTGGTGTAAGCAATCATAATAATTAACAAAACACTGAAATTTCTGGAAAATCCAGCAGTATCCAGATATTTATTTGCAAAATTCTACCAGATGACCTATAAAAATTGAACTATAATGCTACTGACATTTTCCTTCAAACTGCATCAGTTAGTAGTAATAGGAATGAAGCAATCCAGTGTTGTTTAATCTCATTAACTAAACGCAGAGCCTATTCACATCCAGTTAAAATTGGAAATAAACTAAAGAATAAAACGAATACTAAAGTACAAACTTTTTTATCATCACACCGATGATATCACATACAACACAGTAATATTTTAAAAATTAGAACGGTTGATTATTTTCTAATAAAACGGAACTGCTGAAAGTAAAACCACAGATCTCCCATAACGCTAGAACTCACTTATATATTTTCGCTCATCCAAACATTCATATATTGTGTTTTCTATGTTGTACAAGTTAATGAGCTATATATGCAGTTAGATCCATATGTACATATTTAGCTGATAAATGGAACGGAAATTTTCAATTCAAAAGTGAATCATGATATATTGTTGGACTTACGTTTTAAGCTTTTCTATTAAGGTTCAATGGAAATAAGAACAGCTATTACATGTTTGCCACCTTAACACTCTTTTAGTGACCTGTTATTTCATTTACGTAAACAATAGTTGATTGTTGTAAATTAATAGACATTGATTATATATACTATATTTCATACTTGATGTTAAAGACATTTTATATTGCGTTTTACAAATTGTTTACCTTTCTGTAATGAGATTACTTATTGAACATTGATTTACGAATCATTAGAAACTAGGACAACAAAATTGTAGGGTTAAAAAAGCAATTATTTTGCCCGATATCAAAATATCACGAAAAAAAAACTTACTTTGAAGCTTGAATCTTCTGGGTTATATTTGCCTATGAATATGAAAATAAGCAATAAAATCAAAATATGCATTGATCTAAATGTTTAAAAAAGAACATTGGGGGCAAATAGTTTGTAGAGAGTAACATATTTCAGTCGTCGATAACCAGGGGTAGGATCATTTACTTTTCATAAAACTAAATTCTGATTCTCCATAGATTTCAGTTCCCCAGTCATGCTTCTACGAAACATATTGATTGCTATAATCTATTGAATAAGGACAGATAATTTGTCTGCAACAAGTAGCATATAAGGTCAAAAAACGCCGTCAAACTCGAATTTTCAGACAGCACATTTCGAACAGAGTGCATTCTCAGCAAACTAACATGTTTTCCGAAAAATTAATGACTATCCAAATCCACTTCCGTATGAAGATGATGATACACAATACTGCCTAACTTCACAGTCGTTCACGGTGAAAAATGATGGAGTTACTAAGTTGATGTTGAATTATCTTGTGCAGTTTGTTAACTTAAATTAATCTGGAAAAATGTTTTGCGAATCCATCATGCTGATGAAGCAACATTGTGTTCTACATGCCAGTTATATCCATAAATTACTCGATTTTCAGAAAACGATAACTGTTGTTCGGTTGGAAAGTAAAAACGAACTACTAGACACCGCAGTATGCTACAGACAAAATCATCAGGTTTCCAAGAATAATGAATAATTAAAAACAATTTTTTTGAATCCAGTATCACATATTAACTTCTAGATTTCTTTCTCCCTACTTTAACACCATTAACAAACAAAGCCAGCGCCTAATCACAGATATTATTGTGAAAGATTTAAGAGCAAAGTGACTGGACAAATTTATAAAATAAACTAATCAGGGTCTGACGGAAAACAGCTTATTTAACAGAGACATTCTTTGTTTGGTAAGTATACAATTCATAATTAACATAAAATGAATTCACCATTTGACTGTCTCAAGATATAACAACTACGCTTGTTTGACATTGTCCATATTAAACAGAGGAAATAGAAATGATATTATCAATACTAACGGAATATTAGTCATTTGATATGTACAGTTACGTCGGCGAACAATTATAAACCAACACTAATTATATAATATTCTGACATCGAAAGAAACTAGTAATACTATAGCAAAGCAGTTAATCATTTTGAAACTAATTAGCCTACACTTGGCGGCGCAGTCATAAATAATAAAATAATATATAATTGATAGGTTTGAAATATTATGTTGGTATGTTCGACAAAGTTAACTCTTTAATAAAGCTTATATCGTTGTTTTTAAGTCCTCTGGAACATTTCAAAATGCTTAAAATGGTCAGGAATCCATTATCGTTCATAAAATTTTAGCTAAATAGATATGTATTTGACTATTAAAGAAATATAACGACAAATTCTTGTAATGGTCATCAAAACCTATCGTGTAGGGCTATTGATCTCGCTTGAACACTTGACCACTAGACCACGGAGCCGACATCGAACGATGTTAACTGGTTCGAGTCCCGCGTGCGGCATTGTGAATGCCCATTTCTGAAAAGTTTCATGCTAGGACGAAACGGCCGTCCAGTGCTTCCAGGATTTCAATAGTGGTCTACCATTGATTGGCTTATGATTTTGATAACCTTCTTTACTTAATAACAAAAGCAACTGGTGCGACTAGCTTCGGATTAAGCCCAAACATAGTCCTCATTCAAATATGTAGATAATTCGGTTCGCTGAATTATAGCATTTTACAAGTTTTATCGAGTGTTTTCTCGTCAGTATTTACGTGCTACTGCTTTCTTTTTTTAAGAAAGAACTTATAACTATTTTCTATTATGTAAACCTGTAATTGTTCGACATTGTATATATTCTTACCGGGTACGATGTAATTCATACTTATGTATATCTATTACAACAAACAAGAATAATCCTAAAACTATAAGAAAATCAGTATTCTATAAATTTATAGCAAATTCTAATAAAAGAAATATATATCTGTTACTTACAAATGAATATCTTAATTAAGTCAAATGACTTTATAAAATTAATTTTTAAACTTGTCTATGAACTTAATGTAAGTTAAATATCAGAAAATCTTCCTACTCAATAATAATTAGTTTTCTGGGAACCCCAGTATTTTATTTAGACTCAGCTTGTAAAGCAATTTTTGTCCTAGTTGTACTGGCTACACAACAATAAAAATACTAAACTTGAAATATACGTCTAGGCTGATGTCTGTGAATTATTCCAGCGTTTTAGAAATATTCCGGAAAGCAACACAACAACATTTTAACGACGTTTTTAACAACTAACAATAGTTCGGAAAGATTTGAAATGAAACTCAAGAACAATAATGAGTAGGCAGTTTTTAGTGGACCATTATTAGGATAACAGTCTTTCAAGTTAAATATTATGTTAAAGATGAATACACTTGGATGCAGTTCAATAATCCTAGTGCAATATAATAAAAGTAGTAAGATAGTTTCATAAATAAATAAAATATTCTTACGAACGTGATCAAAAGCGAACAACCATATTTACACAGAACTACTGATTTCACATTTTTAAGGTATGAGGAAGTAAAGCTTTTTTGTAATTATGAAATGAGTTGAAGTGTTAAGAGTAGGTGAGCTCAATGATATGGTACACATATTCCTTTGTATGGCATGGAGTAATTCATCACCAGGTAGCCAATTTGGAACAAGACAAATACAACTTTATGACAAGTAAAAACATTATAAATCTGCTTTGGAAATCCGTATTGTAGATAAGCCATAAATAACTTCGAATTCGAATAACCGTTGTATTACAATAACAGCGCTTTTTGTATGGTATTGTAAAGTGATCAAGGAAGCCTACTAGAAAAAATCAAGCCACCTTACAGATAACATAATTAAATTTAGTTAAATTGCATGGACAATCATGTATTTTGAAAATTTTTTCCTAGTCTTCATCTACTGTAGTATAAAACACAGAGGCTTTCAAGAAATGAAATATCCGTAGAAATTTACTTTTGCACAATATATGTGCTCATATACGTGGGTTTCTTTAATGACAGAAACAGAATTTTTATTTCAAAGATACACGCTTTTTATTTGTTCTAAAGAAAATAAGCTCAAAGATAGCATTTTAATTGCAAAACTTTACATCTAAAGCCACAATATGTAAACAGTGTATTGGTACACTTCTCTTATCTATTCAAAATACAATTTTATAGAAGAATAATTCGGTCTTGCGTGCGTGATATTTTTGCATTATTGTACACAATGTGGGAGCAGTCCAAAAAAAGAGTGTAATCCTATTTTAAATAAGTTATGGATACCTTGTTGATGATCTAGGTGATATGTGAACCCCCAATTTTGATTGTAACAATCTACCGAATGCTCAATTAATTTGCAATTATGTGCCATTCTATATGTCAAATATTCACCGAACTTTTCCACCTTAAAACCTGACCTAACCGTTGAATTGTAACATTTCTAGAACAAAGAGTCTACAAAATCACTCCATCAATCCTGTATAGTGTCACAAGTACCCTCTCCTGAGGAACTCCATTCCAGGATAAAATGATTTACCTACACTATCTAGTTCACAATTTTTCTTCAACTGATCTTAGTTGGTGCCAAGACCTATTTTAAAATTATTTGTTTAGACATATCTAATTATATTATATTACTTTGAATCACATAACAATATCATCTATTTCTAATTTGATTTTTTTATTTCTAGTAAAATTATAAAACATCTAATGATGATGTTCTATAAGTTGAATAGAAATCAATCCGAATAATTTATTGTCTTTAAGCAACGTCTATCAAATTCAAATAACCTGGAAAATTTATTCATTAGAATACTTATAAAATCTAGTCACATTTAGATAAAAGAATAAATTATCAATCTCATTATTAAATGATAATGAACTAAGATATGTACTTTTTTGTTCATATAATGAACTCTTACTATCTATGGTTGTATATGAGGATACTTTGTGCTATTAAAATATAGGACAAATCGTGACATATTAATTGTTTGTTTTATCTTTGTTTTATATTTCATTTTGATATCACGAAATAAATGCTTTGTCATATTTTTTTAACTTAAGAAAATAATTACAAGTTAGTATTAAAATGATGTTCTCTAGTTATACAAATATCATCGATATAAACATCAGGCTATACACAGGTTTCATAAATTGCTTATTTTACAGAGCGATATGTTCAACAAGAGGTAATAATAAACAGGATGCAAAAAGGATCAAACGGAATTAAAGTGAATAATCCTGAGTTCTTAACGAACAACCTTTGTTTTATTTGAAGTACCAGGGCGGCCTGCTTGAGTATCTGGGCTACCTGTTCCTGCCATCTAGATATTTCAACAAGTTATCTATTATCGTTTGTTTTAATATACCATTATGTTTATTAATCGCATAACCTATTCTGCTGCGTTTCTGAAAAGTGTACAACCTTTCGTTGTCAAAGTTACAGAAAACTCAATAAGAGACAATATGGTTGCTGGCAATGTACAACGAAAAGAATGTACATTATTCAGTTGTTCATTCACTGAAGTGCTAACATCTAACTGGCGATTCCTTAATATTTATCGCCAGGACCGACCAAGAAGAAAGAAACGGAAACTTGTTGAAATACTTTGCGCTGAGAATTCTATATTGTACCAAAATTATAATATTGAATAAATAATAATAAAATAAAACAATGTGGATCAACCACTAATTATGACAATGTGCAAAGCATCTAATATTGAACACTGAAGGCTAGTTGAATGACCAATTATCATAGCTTTCTGCACAAAATCAGAGTACAAATGATGTTATTTTATATGTGGCCAACGTAGTTTTGCTAGAACTAAGGTTAAACTGAAGTTTCATTCAAAATAATATCGAGATAAATCAAAGCGTGAACAGTTTGATTTCTAATTGTCGTTCATTCGTGATCTGAAGACTGCCCGCAATAAATCACAATAAGTAAACAGTTTTGATCTCACGACCAAGCATTAATAGATTACAGCTATACTAATAACATTTTCATTCACTAAATGCTTCAACAGAATTTCTGCAGACAGGTATTTTTACACGTTACAAGTGGTTTAAATAATAAACTACTTTAAGTCACAACATCTAGTGAAATCTAGGTGAGTACACCAAGTAAATAATAAACAGTTTGAGAGAATAGTTTGACTTCACCGTTCAAAATATGGAACTAAACAGTTATTTGTTGGTCGAGAATTTTTAAATAATTTTTAAACCATTATTGCTAATTTCATATCCAAAGTCTTCAATATTTTCCATTTCACTAGGTTGCATTAAGTCTCGATTTTGGCTCTAAACACTTAGAAATTCATTTCATAATGTATGCATGTTTGGAAAAAGTTTGGCTGTTGGATTCATTATATGAACTATTATTAGAAATTTGTATTTACTAATAAGCGAAAGACTAAACGAAGCTGTTCTAACGTTTCACTATTTAATGGTAATAACTTCATCAAAGTTACAGTAAACCGAAATTTATAAAAAATCTCAGCTTATATATGGTAACAATCTACGTTTTTCTGGTACCTTTATTACTTCATTCACTCGACAATGGAGAATTACTATATACGAAGATCAGGTTACCATATATAAGCTAGGATTTTGATAAATTCTGATCTACTGTAACTTTGATGCAGTTATTAGCATAAATAGTGAAATACCAGTATAAAATATTTTGTTTTGTTTTCCACTCAACGAAATGTAATTATTTTTAATGCTCATGATTATTTCATGATGTTTACTTATTTCGATTAAAAAGTGATACTGCCTAGATTCACCTTTATTAAATGTTAAGAGTCGATTTATTCATGTTAATTCGTCTGAAAAGATTAATGAAATGAAAATCATACTGACCTCAAAAATTGTTTAAATAAATTTGTTACAACTGAATGGTTACACAAATATAAACTCAAGGAAAAGTGTATTTTTTATAAGATTTTAAAATAATATTTCCGGTGACATTTCTAGGTCATCTACAATACTTCATGAATAATTTTTACATAGGATGCTGAAAACGCGCAACGCAAGTGAAATTGTGATTTTCAGTTAGTATTTTGTGGAAAATAAACAATAAATTCTAACGTCTTAGCGAACAATAATTTCATTCTTTTCATTGTTATGTTCATTTTCTGACAATAATTATTTCCAACGCATTTTTAAAAGCTAACCACAATATCATTTAAATTACAAATGAAACTGCCACTTACCTGTTTTGAAGAAGGTCTTGGGCGTAGAAGAATGAAGCCGATTATCTGAATCCCTAATAATATACCTCCCAAAATTAAAAGGGTTCTAGGTACCCGGTCAAGAAGTTCGATATCAGTAAAGTGGCTAAAGTCAAAGAAACAAATAATTAAGTTAAAATGGCTTTTGAAAAACAACTGCGCCTTTTTAGGATGAACACAAATTTCTTGTCTTCGGTCTTATAATTTTATTTTATTAACTGAATATCATATCACATATCTATCGTCGTAAAATGGTCAATAATGAATATAATGGTTATTCATAGAAAATCTTTGTGTAGGTTAATTGATGAATAGTACAACAGACCTGCTTACGATGCTTATTATAGTACGTTCATAGTTGTATCGAGTAGTTAATATTTTAAATAAAAGAATAAATTAATAATAATTATGAAAAACGTACAAAATGAAGAAAAAGCCATCATAACTCGAGAACTGTTCTATTGAGTTAATGATTATTCGTTCTTTGGATCCACTAATATATAAGAATAAAACTCAAGATCGGCCCTTCCTACAATTGTCGTTTGTTCAATCAAAGATTGGAACGGTTAAATGATACACGTGAGGTAACTACTAAATAGATCTGTATCAGAATGGAATTTCGATAATAACGTTATTCTAATTCATTCACTAGGTAAATATTTGTGTACTCGAAGTCTGATTTAAATCAACCGTGTGAAGTATAGTGATACTACGCCGCTGACACATACAAAATGGATGGAGCAGGTCTCAAACGTGTAATCTGATGATTCAACAGTGAAAATTGTTATCAACAAGACACCAATTGGTTGGTAGGAAACAAACTTTTGTAATCTGTGACATGTTATCATCGACCATTATCATAATCATTGTGCAAACAACGGATATGGAACTAGGTGAAGTAACTTTGTATATACGGTCTCATATGAAATTTTATTCAAATTTTATGAATTCCTCTATATTAGAGATAAATATTGGAACTCGAATTTTAGGCAATATTAAAACTGTTTTCAGCTTCTCAGATAAAGTTTTAAACAATATCCTGTAAAACAGATGAAGTTAATATTAAACATATTTCGATATAAGCCCTTCACGGCCCTCTTTTTGTAGCAAAACGTTTTTATATGATTCCTGTCGTTCCCATTAATTCCGTTACAACAAAGACATGACTTTTCTATAAATGAACTATCCTTTTTATGATTATTTTTCTTATTTTTATGGGCTATTATTTCTCCACACGATAACTAATACACTTTTAAAACTAATTGTTCATCAGGGATGCAAAATTATTTATTTCAATCAATATAGACTGGTTCAATACTCATTCAAAATGCAAACCTCTCCAAACATTATTCGTGACGTTATAATACTTATGCTAAACTCTACTCTCCATCAATAGTCAACCTGTAGTCCATATACACATATTAAATAAATGAAAACTAATAATTTCTAACTGAGAATTAATTATCTACTGTCTATCTTAAGAACACAATTAAATATATCAATATATCATAGGAAATGATTTTGGTTAAATCAGTAAAATAAATGTTGTCTATGATTTCAAATTATAAAATTATAAAAAATTACAGATAGTCATTTAAATACATATGCCACTACGTGCAGTATTAAAAAAGTATTAGTAATCAAAGAAAGTCAATTATTTCAAGCATTCTTTTTATGCAGTACTTTTACTCACAATCATCTCTAATTCCATGTAATCTTTTGAGACTAAGGTTCAGGTTATTATTCTGCTTATTTTTTGCCATTTAACTTAGTCTATTTGAAAGTGAGTTTTTGTAAGGACAATCATGTTATAACCGCTAGTTAGGAGTATGAAGTAAGATAAATACTCATTAAAAGATTTTGGACGATGTATATTCAATTACGAATTAATTTATTTTAAAAAACGTTCTCTGATCAACTAAAAATATAAGAACAGAGAACCAACAGTTTACTTACCTGTAAGTTTTAGTAAGGTAATTATAAACAATTATTATTTGTGATAATACATCCCCCAAAAATAGAATCGGCCAGACAGTTTTATAAAATTTATAGGTGGTTACCAATGGATTACAGAAAAGGTGTAGCGTTCTCCTAAGGATACTCTAAAGGTATTCCATTCAAATATAAATACACATTTTCGCTATACGCTACAAAACTTCACGCGTCATGTTGCCAATGATCCTTTCGTTTTCCAATCATAAACACATCAAAGTAACACTAAGAATCAACGCAAAATGTTTTTCTTTGATATTTAGACAGGTGGTTAATTTATGTGGTCTGGTATACCGACTTCAGAAATGCAATACTTCATTTACAACAACATACGGTTTCTTAGTTTGACTTTTGATACATTCTATATAAAAATAAAGTAGCTAATTTACCACTTTTGAGAACGATCAAGTGAATCGTGCAAGAAATCCTCGATTCCTGATTACAGCTAATTGGGTAACACAAAGGTAACTTTTTTTACTTAACATAGCTTGATCCAAGGCTATACGCATGCGTAACACTTATCTACTGGATAGTATTTTAATCAATGTAAACGCAACATACCCATACCCTACAGTTTAGCTGTATTCTTTCATTTCGAAAAATATAGCTCGTGAAGAAAGATGCCATTTAAAAATAGGCGGCGTTTATTACGGGTCACTCAAGAACATGCAAAACCTTACATTCTATGGATAAGTAAATGTTATCAGTAGTGGTTCTTTTTCTGGAGACACTTATTTCCATCCTATTAGATCAGAAATCAGTATCATAATTAAAAACGTCTTCAGTTTACAATTATACTGTTGACACATTATAATCAATAAATTGCAAAAGAAACTGGTGTTGTTGCATTTACAGTCTATTAGAAGTCCTTCTAAATCGATGACAAATTGAAATACATGTTATATAAGTGTAATGGTTGAACGCCTGTGTTCAATTTTACGTTTAGATGGATTTACTGATATTATGTTTGTCAACCTATAATTATTCCATACAACGATTTGCGGGGAAAGTCTACGTTTAAATTCAAATGCGTTTTACTTCAATATACTTCTATTGATTTACGGGATAATAAAAAACAATTTATCGTGGTCAAACTGTAGATTATTCTACCATTCAGTTCAAGATAACTTTGATCTAGTTTTTGTTTATTATTTATTTCCTCAAGTTTTAAAATCTCATAACTCATTGGAGAAGCAAAATCCAATTTACTATTTCTCTTGTACAGATTTTTATAGTGACCCTAAAAAATTAGGTTTCGTTTCTTCGCTACTTAAATTTCAATAGATTTGTTTCAGTGTTGAATGTATTGACTGTTGTAAAAATTTGACTGAAAAGTTCATTCAATAAATAACTAGAGCCAAGAATTTTATAAATTTGACATATTTTTCTGGTTTAACAGATAACATTTCACATTTCGCAAGAGAAAGTATAATCTAATCCCTTATTTTTAATCTTGATGCTGGTTTTTTTTCGTTTATAAAGGTTGAAGTATATTTTCAATTTTTTGAATCAAAATCATTCTTTAGAAGTTTTTATTACTCAGTGAAAAAAGTTGATGAAATTTGATTTTGCCGAGATCTGTATATTTGATAGTAGTATCTCAGTAAATTATGTGATAAACCAGAATTTATCATATTAAAACCTAGATATTAATAATTCGGCCAAGCTTTTTCTTCATAGATAATTCAGCGTTATCTAATTCTGAGAAATAACGTTCATGGATCATATATTAATTATGTTCATATATGAATATGCATTTGATTCTCATTGGATCAACGTTTGAAATGGTAGTTTTTGAAGCGTGAATGTTCTAATCCATATCACAATGTGTGTTGTTCAATGATCGTTCTACAGGCCGTTTTGACTAGTTTTTTAAACGATTCAATTAAACTTTATTGCTTATAATTCTCGAAGCAGTTGCAAATTTTTTGATATCATGGCCAGTTCCGTGACTTGAAATGATAAAATTAGGTAAAATTTTTATCCAGTTTTAGGGAATTTCTCGATATTCAAAGAGAGACTCGGTGATAATTGCTTTTAGGGATTTAGAGTCTACGAGAAATTCGATTTATGTGTTAGACGTCAACCTCTCCATTTTCATGCAAGAACTGTTCAATCCTGGATATCATCTATTAGATCGAGCAAGACGCCATGAAATACATTTAAATCCAAATAATTACGTATTTTACGGATAGCAATTTTTTGTTGTACTATTTCATCAGTTATCAATTCACATACTCTTCTTATAAAAAGATGATTTGACTGACTTACTTTCAAAAGTCATTTGAGTGAATCAAAGAAGCTCACCTCCGAATGAATTGCTTTTAATAGATACTTACTACTTCATATACTTTTTTATTTGGTAATTATCAGTAGTTTAGAAAATTTAATTCATTTTTAATTGTTTACTTTCTTGGAATAAGGGTCAGTGTGGCTAAATTAATAACTCATGATTTTTAGAAACAAATCGCATTAAAATTAAAGATTAAATGTGAAAAGACTTCACTTAACAAAGATTTATATAACAAAGTATTAGGGTTAATTCAAGTCCGTCTATACAAATTTTATCTGTTAAATAGTTAAATTTTCTACAGTGGCAAGCAACTAGTGATTTATCTATATTTCAGGCTAATGTATTTTGATTCCTAAATAAACAGTAAGACATGATCTTTCTGTTTATAGTTGTATCATCTAATAAGTGTTCTTTCAGATTCATGCTGTTTGTTATCTTTCAAAATGAAACTTGAATTTAACAAACAGATATACCTGAATCTCTATAGATATCTGAGACATAAATCAGACCAACACGTCGCGAAAGCTTATCTGCATCTTTACAATCCCCACAATGATGAGCCTTACTTGTCGCAATCATCGTATGTGGATACTCTTAGTGATATTCGATTTTTATTTGACAACATAAATGTAGTCAGGAAAGTATTATAAATGAATTCCATTTCTGACTAGATGGCCTTAGTCGAAATAAAGAGCAGTAAAATTGAGACGATTATGATGAACCATGCCATTAAAATATTTTTGTTGATCAACTTAACCACCAATCTATGATCAATGACAAAATTAATGAGGTGAATTCTGTGAATATTTATTCATACATGAATAAAGACATCATCTTTTATTTCTAATAGATTTTAAAGTAAAAATTTAAGTTATTTATTCGGAGGAATGGGGTCAATCACTTTGAAAATTGATTTTAAAAAGTTCGCTTAACTTTCGTTTTCTAAATCAAATTGTAAGGTTATTGGTGATTTCACCTTAGGTATTTTCCTAAACACGGCAGATATTGGCTAAACGGTGAAAGATCCTGCTAGCTCCATCCTATTTAAACATTTGTGATCACATTTTTAAGCACATGATAAACACTGGAATTTTTTAAACATTGAAATGAGTAGCATGTTGTAGTGAATGTAGTAAGTGACATTATTGATTTATGTCATGGTTCTTTAACTCATACTGTTTCGAAAGGCAGCTTCGTTAGGTATCTCTAGACAGCAGTATTGAATCTTTTGTTCTACTTCTTTTCAAAATAAAGATTCCATAAGACTTGTTAATCGCTCGCATGCTTTTTTCTGCAAAATCTGGTGGTCGTATATTTAGCTTTAGATAATTTAGAAACACTTGTTGACAGCATGAGAAACTGACGGCGCACTATACAAGGTATAATTTTGTTTTCTTTTAGAAGGTGAGAATTGATATTCAGTGTTGTATCTCGGCGGGTTTAAATCTGAATGCCATACAGACTTCTGATAAGCTTCGCTCATAATAATTAACTTTAGTAACCGAAGTTGTTTTACATTATTTAATTGTAAATGTGATAACTAATGGCCTTATTATAAACTCAGTTTACCACCTATATATCAACTTTATGTTATGAAACATTTAAAGAACTTCTATGTATGTGTAGAGTTCTGTACCTAAGATATTTAAACTACCGAATAATTTTCACTACTCAGTGTACTTGGGCAAAGTTGACCGAGCTCTCTCATCAGAAAAGCAGTAACGTGTGATCTCTAGCTAAATATTACCTTAGTTATAATGTTAATATATAATGAGAAACGATCAATTACAGCACTTATCACTGAGTCAAAATAACATATATCATATTTCAAAGTACATTTTTATAGACGAATTAAGAAGATTAATAAATCAATATTCGTTAAGCTATTTAAAAAGATTTATCTATGACCCAGATTTTTATTTAGAACCAAGTGATATTTAAGTAGAAGTTCGCAATTATAGAAAGTGAGATATGGAATGTAAATAAAAAACTATTCTTATTTTCATAAACAAATACGTAGATTGTTAATTTCTGAGAAAGCTTTTACGAAAAAATATAATTTCGGATGATGTAATAATGAATATGCTCATCGAAAAATATAATTTGTTTGCTATTTTGTGATGATAATACTCTAACAACAGCACTACATTTCTTGATTAGTAAATCTACTGGTTACTAAGAATAGATAAGTAGCGATGTAGTCATAATCTAAAACGAAGACATTTCACACTTATGAGCCGACAGATTGAAGCATGTTTTTAAAACAGGGCCAGGTTGTTATAGTCATCAACAGTATGTAGCTTTATTGACTGCCAGAATATTTCATCACACTAAACAGTCCACTTAGGTCTTTATTTTGTTTAGTTTCCTATGAATCGTTATTAAAACATTTATTTAACTTGAGAATCAGATTGTAAACTTTTTCACCGAAGTCACAATAACTTATTCGTATTATTTAATTTAATTTAATAAGATAAATTTCTTTTTCTGTTTAATAAATGGGATTTCAAGAAGAATAATGATAATACTCACTAAGCTTTGGGATAATATTATATTATTAAACAAATAATGAAACATTAATACAAATTTAAGAAACTCACCGAGTAACATTGTCTACTTTTACGTTTGTCGGATTGATAAGAGCAGTCTGAATAGGCGAAAATACCAGTGCTCCAAGGCCAAATCCACTTACAATTATTCCCACAATCAATCCACGTTTTTCTGGAAACCACTAAAATCCAAATTATCAAAGTTGAAAGTATCTTTATTCCTTAAATGTCACTATTGTCAGTGCACCGTCAATAAAACCAGCTTGACTCAGTGGTAGATCATCTGTTATGGTGAGTGGGGAATTAGTGTAACTTTCAAAAGAAAACAACAATCCTGTAGAATCAATCCAGAGAATTCACTCAAGTTATTTTAGACATTTTAGCTTGCGCTTTCAACGGAAGAACTATAAACATTATGAAGAGGTCATTCGAGATAGAGCTGACTTTTTATAGATACAAATCAACTAAAAACAATATACCCACAAGGAAATGATAACTGTTCTGTCCTATCTTTATTTATTAGGCTTTAAATTGTATCTTACTCCGATATTCCTACCATATTGTTCTCATTGGTGAACATACTGGAAAACTTGGTGCAGATAATTGCAAAACGATAATGGAAGATACCGCTACCTTGTTGCAAAAACGGAATAATGCATGATTTAGAAAGTTTTTATTTAGTGACGTTGCGTAAGTCAACAATTCTTCGTAAAATTGTATGTAGACTTGAGCGTAATGTATATACTGCGTGAATATAAATAGACATTAAATAGCCACTGTGAAACATACAAGCGGGCAAGGATATTAAACTGTTAAGATTATTTATTCTATGTGATGAACACTTTATATCAGACCGTATGGTTTTACAAATCACTCAACTTGAGTAAAACCATTTTGTAGTTGTACTAAAGAAAAATTTACTAAGTCAGTCATGCTCAGAACCCAACCTGCAACATACGTACAATAGTTCGAACTGACACGCCACATCAAAGTACCATAAGTAGTAGCAGTAGCTAGGGGTGTAAAGATCAGGCATTGAAGGTATGACTGGAGATGTGGATATGTAGGACAAAATAATTTTCATGGGCAGTCATGAAAATTAGGATCTAAAGGAAGACAAAATCTGAATGCACCTGCATTATTACCCAGCATCTTTAACTGATTATCACAGCTCTCGTGTATATCCGAAGCATTTAGTCTCTACCCATCTGCACGGAACAGTTCAATTCTCAATGAATTCATGGACTGATGTTATGTCTTGCTGAAGCCGTTTCTAGCTTCCTCCAAAACTACCACATCAACAATCACGCGTCGAAGTAAGAGGTGGTTGGGGCTACCTAATACTTGTCACAAGTACCTCGTGTGATGAAGGATTCGCCGCCTGCATCACTCGACTTGCGTTTAACCCCAGGACTGCTCACTTGATGGCCCAATATGCACAAGTGATGCTTGGAAGATATCTATGACCAAATGCTAATAACCTTAGAATATCCTCAACTTACAAGGTTAAATTTTACAGGCATAAATTAAAACAAAGATCTTTCCTACATCACAAATGATGCGATTTAGTGAAAATCGGCTGAGCTTTCAGAACCTGTGCTGGTATTTTGCTGGGAATAAGACCAAAAGAGCTGATGAAACTTCACAGATAACAGTAGTGATAGACGCGCTCAACTATTCTGCTCAATATCATTAGTTTAGGAGTTGACACTGACCATTCAAGAATCAGCGCATCTCAAACATACTTGCACTGTCGCTGAAGACGATCAAAATACTAAAGGTACCTTTAGTATTCTTTTCGACCAAGACTAAACCATCATCTTGATCTAAATGAAGAAATAAATCTTCCGTGAGAACGGTCATTTCGAAAAATTCAAGCAATGAAACCGTTATTATGAAAAACATTAGTGAAAAAATTAAATAAGAACGGCGAAGTTGACAATACCGACGAAAACACCAAATATCGATGTCAATTCTGATGACAAGTCATCAGTTGCTCTGCGTGCACTATTAGCGGTCCGGTGGAGAGCCTGTACATGTTTGACGTACGTCTGTGGTACACATTTCAGTGGCGGACACTTCCGTAAAACCTGTAGATCAATCGATTCGAACACCACCTCAGGGTCAAAAAGTAAAACTGTTTCGAAGTCGGTAGATATGCCTATTTTCCAGAACTTACCGAAAAGAGATCAGTTGGCATATATATCCACAATCAGTTATGGAGTCAGCCTGATTTTTTTGGATTGTCTATTAACTACCACGTAGCTGAGCATCGGATGATTATTGAGGCTAATAATTTCCACAATGTATTGGTCAGCCTGATTCTTCTGCATTTATCACTAGAGAATTCTTGTCTTCGCTTATAAATGTGAATGATCAGCAGTCAAAGCCAGTCAGATGAGATAACATCAACCTCCCAGGCTCTAAATAGTGCCCTAACTAGTGCCGAAACTGTACCACCGCCCTTAAAGATCTTAAGAGTTAGTCCGTCAAGACTTCACTTTCACTCTCTTCTTAGATTTCTTACGGTATTCAATTTTCTTCAAGAGTCAGAGGCTCCAGTTGACATCCCGTTCAGGTTGTTTGGTAACAGCAGATACCTGAGAAGTATCCGAAGACTAGTTCGTCTGTTTTTTGATATCTTCTACCCATTATCTCAATTTCATTGTACGACTGACATTTTTATCGTTAGACTGAATTTTGAGGGGCTGTTCTATAAATTTTCTAGACCTAGTAAGACGAAGACAAAACTGTTCGTACACTAGGGAACAATCAGTGTTTAAATATGTGCTTAAGAATGAGTTAGTCCACCACTGTGTATCCTCAGCGATGGCTGATGAAAACATGTTTTATTTCAGCCTATCATTTAGCCAGTTTTGAGGATTAGTATTAGTTAAAAATAAACGGTTATATAACAACAGTTATAGCACGTGGTTGCCGTTGTCTGTTTATTAAGCAAGAACATTATAGGACTCACACAAGTGTCGCTTTGGTGCAGCCTATTTATCTGTTACCAATGCCTCTGAAAGACTGATTTCTTGAAGGAGACTGAAAAGCCTCCTTCAAACTCATTCTTTCCGTCTTTCAAAATGCAGTCAGTAAAAACGTAAGAAAAGATGGCAAAGAGACGACAGCATGCCTGCACATACTGACAATTTAAACTGTTTTAATTTTTTGAATGCATTTACTTTGCAGAAATCTAGTAACAATCGCTTGGCCGTCTACATTTTACGCAGTAATTTTAACTTTATGGGGGCTTTTTTATTAACACTATATGGATTGTGCCTTAATGTAGCCCTTTATTAAACGATACTCACATTTGTTCCATAACCTCAAGTAAAGTCATTTGGATTATCTATGGATTTGTTGACATTAATGTTTGACTTAACCAATTGTGAATATGTATTTTTATTGTGGGTATTTTTAATATCAGGTTACATAAAAAATAAAGGAACCAAAACTAATAGCTGAATTCATTTATCACTTCCTACGTATTTTTCAGTTTTCTTAAATGTTTTTGACAAAACCCTTCTGTGTTTATTTGTAAAAATTATTCTGGTGCCAAAAGGTCAAAAATCCATCCAGCAATCTTGTCACTTATTCGGTCTTAGGAAGACTAAAATCATGCTAACTCATATTCTTAAGTAAGAAATAGTAGTCATAGTATCCCTTATTATTTCTAAAACATGGTAAATAAAACAAACTCCATATAAATATACTAGTTAAAGCTTTGATTCTGTTACGGTAGCTATTGGAACGCTAAACCAACGTTAAGTGTTTATTGGTCTTTCTTTTAATAAAGTTTAACCATGCTTCACTCATAATTTTGTTTAAAAGCAGTAATTTTTGCCGCGGTCAACACAACCTAACATGTAGGTTTTATCTTAATTTTTCTTTGTGTTTTGAATTTTGATAATGATGTATTATCTGTTGAATAAAATGGTATGAATTACATGATGAAGAAGATAGTTAATATGACGAAATAAAGAACGAACATTTTCCTCCATAAACAAATTTCTTAGAAGAAAATAGATCAAACTTTCTATTTACATTGATTAATATCGAGTATATCAGTGTTCCTTCTGATAATGTTTATTCATTTCATATTATCTAGTTAGTTATTTCGAATTTATTTCTGCTCAAGCTACATTTAAAAACATAAATTGGAAATGCGTACCATTATATTAACAAACGACAAATATAACTTTTTAATATTTTTGCCGAAACTTATTATTCAGTGGGAAGTTTCATACTGAAAATAACAAAATCCACAAATTAGTATGCATTCAAGTTTCTATATTTATTCCTAAGGAATCATTCCTGTGTCTAAAACTCTGCCGTAATTTTCATTCCCTAACTATTGGAACAAAAATCACCATTCTACGTACGCCATCAGTAACATTCGTGTTTCTGACATTTTATGGCTTTACATTAGCATCTTAAAGTAGTTTAATTGTCTTAGGCTACTTCAGCATCATTGATTTAATAAGTTTGCAAATAACTTTATTAACACAAAATTATACAATAAATGTGTATCAAACTCACTGTTGTTGCGACAGCGAACACCACAGAATAAGCGAATCCCATTCCTATACCCATTGTTAATGAATATGTTATTACTACTCCAACAAATGTCTTCTGGATTGTAAAATATGTAAGAAACACGCTTCCACTGAAAAATAGAATAGTTAAACGTGAGGGAAAAGTATGTTATCAGAATATCTATAAGCTCATGAGTTAATATTGATTTCAAAACATCAATCCACCAGCTGTGAATAAAGATCTTACAAGCACTTTTTGTTATTGGCCTAATTTAATAGATGATCTTAACGCAGTAGATCAGAGCAACAAAGAATTTACGTGATTAACGAATCGCCTTGTGTGCTTAATTATGGAAATCAAATGATAGAATAAACGTTCTCGTATGAAAAGTTAGCATTAAAATGAACTCACCGGAAAATCTGTCTCATATGCCATGGGTATTTTCATTACATTAAATATAATTTCGAGTTAACTTCGTGATAAAAAATCAAAACAAACAACCCTTGAATAAGTGCATTTCGTTGGAAAGGGACGAGTGAAGCCCAACGAGAGAAAAGAATTTCAAATGGAGAAAATATCTATTAGTAAAAAACCACTTACATATTAAAGTAACATAAAGTAATTTTAGCGATTTCAACTTGATCACTTGTTTACTGTCAACCAATATGCGGATACGCAGAAAAAACTCACAAGTTTAAGCACAGTAACACGTTTAAAATACTCTACATGGTGTAGTCTTATTATTATGCTTCTCATCAATAGCTAGTTGAAAATCAAACACATACACCAAATTTACATTATTTAGGTAAATTATCAAAGTAAGTACTAACTGAAACTGTCATGCCCCTCTTCCTTAATACAGATTCACGAAACAAAAACAGGTACACTCTTGATTTTTTGTGGTAATTTTCTTTTTATTGGGTCCCGCAAAGAGGTGAATCTACCGACTTCGAAACAGTTTTACTTTTTGACCCTGAGGTGGTGTTCGAATCGATTGATCTACAGGTTTTACGGAAGTGTCCGCCACTGAAATGTGTACCACAGACGTACGTCAAACATGTACAGGCTCTCCACCGGACCGCTAATAGTGCACGCAGAGTAACTGATGACGTATCATCAGAATTGACATCGATATTTGGTGTTTTCGTCAGTATTGTCTACTTTTTCTATTTTAATTTAGACAAAAATAGTAAAAGCATACACATTTCCACAGAATTGTAAAACATACTGTTTTGTTTAAAACTTAGACATTTTGAAATATTTTAGATAACGCTAAGTACTTTTTTCAATCAATTCTAATAATTATTAGTAACCTCAATATGTGTGCTACTTAGCATTTTAACAGTAGTAGATAGTTTTCTGAGATGTAAAAGCTTTCAAACTACGGCTGCGTTGTCTCATAAGCCTAATAGACAAAGAATGTAATCATCTTGATTTATAACATGTTTTGTTTTACATACGCAACTTTAGTTACGCGAAAGTTTTGAAATAATAACTCGTTTTTGTGTTCGGTATTATGCCAGACGGTTTTACTGTTTCAGCGATTTAAATGTTATTCAGGCTTATCAATTTTTTAGGTTTATTTGTCTACATTTAATGCATTTGCAGCTTTACATTTTTAAAAATTTAATGATGAAGTCTTTTAGCAGATTGCATTTTTAAGCCTACTTGTAAATCAACAGTGAGATTACAACACGATAACTGATGTAAAATGTGGGTTTTTACGTTTGGAGTATATACTGATGTCCTGGTTTCTAATTAAACTGGTTTTAAATGCAAGTTACAGAACAAAATATATAGAATTCCATTTCACTCAATCAGCTGGTAACCATCATTTAAAACTTAAACTTAATGAAGAAGCACTATCCTATAATAATGAAACTTTCTGCAAGATAATTCTTCAAACGCTGCGACCTAGGCAATAATTGAACATGAACACCCAACATTAACGAGCTGCCCAATTTAGTGTTAATTTTACTTAAATTTCGTTATTTAGTTTCGGTGAAACTCAGTTAAAACGTGATGAAATAACCCTGATTTTACACAAGGTTAGAAATGTTACTAATGATTCTGATTAAATTTGCACGAAATTCCTATCGAATTTTCTATGCCTTAGTTTTCCGAGAGTAATACCAAACGTTCCAACAATTTCGGTACTTTTTCATGCTTACACAAACTTCTTGTTGATTATTGAGTCTTTATTTAAACGTTGAGCTTAACAGCTGCGGAAATAACACTGGTTTCCATCCGAAATTCCTAAGTACATCATGTTTCTAACAACATCCGCACTTATAAACCCACAGTTCTCTATTGATTTACTGAAAAGTAATTTTCATTTATAGCCCTACTTTCGTATAAAACTATGTTTTACACGCGATTTCATCAATTCTACGAAGATTACAAAAAATAAAGGGCGAGACCATAATTTATGGGCAGAAAGGGAATGAATGACAGACATCAATGTAAATAAAGGCTTTGAAACGTGTGTAGTCCATTCCAAAGAATCAAATTTTAAAATATATTTACCTCAAAAATATGCAACTTGTCGCAACCACTATTCTAAACCCCACTTTTTTTGCAATTAATCCACCGGCAGGCATGGAAAAGCCTTGAGTACAAAATCCTAGCGCTGATAACCAAATTGCGTCCTTATCCGATAAGTTTGGGTTAACATATGTTCTTAGGTAGTCCATAATATATGGAACCATGTTGGCTTCAACAATGTGAAAACTGTATATTTAGGAACTTACAAACAGTATAAAAATATCCAAAGCTAAGATGCAACAAAACTCCTCCAAACACAGAGAGACATCCTTGAAACAATAACTTTTTGTCACTAGCCTAATATAATGTCAATTTATTGGATCATTTGGCAAACCATCTCATCCACCGAAAACAGCTAACGGCAAACTGTAAATTAAAAAAAAACGTTCCGCAGTAGCAAGAGAAAACAAAGAACATGCGTTGTTCAATATCAAATACGCGTGATCTTTTAGACTTGTTGGTGTAAATTAATTTATATATTAGATCCCACTTCATGCCTTCACAAGGCGGTCCTAACTGTTTGGTATCGTTCAATGAGTTTTTAGCGGTTTGTTTCTTGATAGAAGTTACTTTGTGGTTCAGCCAGGAGTGCGTAAGGTGTAATGGAAAATAGAGCATAAGGAAAGTTGGGTCAATGGTGCGGCAAGTTCATACTATGCACTTACTTTTGATATCAAAATAAGCATAATATAAGCCTCAGAAGAAAGCAGTCTCTGAATCGAAGCTACAAGCAGATAGTCCGATCAGTTATACATGTTTCCTAGAAAATTGGATGTATTTAATGTAGTGAACACGATAAATAGTGGTATCTTCTGCGTATGCATAGGTGGATTTTTTCCGTAAAATTTGTGTTTTCACATTAAGAGGCTACAATTTCTTCGTATATAATATTGAAGAATATAAAATGAGATGGTAAATAAGTAGAAGGAATGTAACGGTCTGAGTTAAGAAGTAGTTTATGTAAACAGATTGAACAGGAAAGCTTTTAAGAAAAACTAATATGTTTTGGTGGAAGATGAAGAGGTGGTCAGAATTTGGTTCATTATTTATAATAAGAATAATATTTCTAGAAGTGAGAATGCAGGAAATAGCAATCAGCTTCAGGTGTTCACGGTTGTTGATCCCTTTCTGTTAACTGAGAGGTTTGTAGTCACACAGACTGGGAGAACTTTGTCAGTAAGGCCAGTCCGTGATGAAATAAAGTTTCTAAATACCGGAACGTTAAGGATTCGTCATTCATCACATCTTACAGCTCAGTCTTGAGGTTCGTGAATGATATTCAACTTCTATGACCAGCAGTGATATGTATATTGAATACCCCAACAACTAATCATCAGATAAAGTGTTCATCTTCGATAGATATTTTCTATCTTAAAAAATAAATACCCTGGAATAACGCATGAAATTAACGGTCAAGTTTTCTTAATCGCTTGCAAATAGAACGAGGTAATTTGAAAACCTTACAAGTAATCCTGCACCTCTGCTGGGTATGTCAAACTAATGAATCTGTCAGACTACTATGTACCTTGAATGGTGGTAAATAAGAGTATGACGAACTTAGATCTAGAGCTGAACTAAGTACTCTAACGTTCCGTCTGAGTAACAGCATATTTAAACTTAAAGTACACTTATCTGAAGCATATGTATAGGCTTGTATCGTGATTAGCATTTGAAGTGATCAGACGAAACAGATTAAACACTGAATCTTTCATTGTTTTTAGCCGCACTAGTTTGATAGAGTCACTACAGCGGTCTACTTCTGAAGTGGTTTTAGGTGATTTCCATTGGTACTGTTGGTGCACTTTGTTTCAACAGAAAGAAGGTATAATAACACAACACTATTGTTAATGACGAATTTCGAACATGAGACAGCGATTTGTTTTCTTATCAGTTTATAAATAAAATATGAAATAATGCAACTGCACATAACAAGCCAAAACTACAGTTATATTATAACCACTGATAATAGAAACATACTGATGTATTATTCTTGACGTGACGTGATGGCAAATAATTCTATACAATAAATAGTTCTCCAGGTTTTCGCCATTGATGCTTACCTTAGTAGTTTTACTGAACATACCCTGGCTGAAGACGCTCGGTCATGCATCCACACTAGTAATTCGTACTTCTCATCCCACGCAAATACTAGCCAGATTAAATCAAACGCACCTCAGCATATATGCAACTTTCCAAATATGTCCTCAAAATCATTCATCCCTGACTTCTGATCTGAATGAGTTAGTATCTTTCGGAAATTAGGGTGCCACGACCAGCAGCATCTCTTAAACCTGAATTTCTGTAGCATCTTTTGAGCTCTTTGCTTCATACCTTGAAATTGATTGTCCTTAGTCATTCATCTCACTACTAAAGCTGGGCTCAAATGAACATGTCTACAGATAGCTTGTTCGATATAGGATAAGTAAGACATACGAGAACCTTTCAGTCTTGTGTTCAATAAAGGTAATTTATGGAGTTTCGAATCTTTGTTGATTTAAGTTAACCCGATACAACTTATTTTTAGGGCTGTACTAACCATCAATGATAATATTCAAAGTTGTTGAGCCACGGATAATCGACTTGGTCAAATCCTGGATTATCGAGTAAAGTATATTGACACCAGATTGAATGACTTTGTTCGCCATAACTGTAGAACTTAATGATCATAAACCTTTCAATAGCATGATTTCTCTCTTCAGTTGTCTCATCCATTAAGCGTAAACGTGGTCTTCGCATTCTAAATATGATGTTCAGACTATGGTTGAAAAAGTTGCTGTATTCGTATAGCAAATACGATGCTGATAATCAGTCATACATGATAATACTGTATTATGAGATCTCAGTACGTCTTTAATGAATTTATTTACAGTATCGACCAATATTATTCTAGATTTATTGATTTTGGTGTACAATTTTAGTCATGGATCTTTTGTAGATATACCAGAAATGACAAAAACTCCGCCGTTAGCTCATGCTTCTGATTGTTTGCAATAACCGACTCCAGGAACCTTGCTTATAATAATAATAATAATTTATTCTCAAATAACAGTTTGTTACATGAGGCATGCCAGTTTACAGGCAAGATCAAATTGTTACAAATGATATAATATCCACTGTGGTTAATTCCTTAGCTGGGTTGATAATTTATAAGATATGAATGTAGATGGTTTTAATCAGTATCACAGTTAGCGCGCTTCATGAAAGTTACG